GAAGCTCCTACTACAACACGCAGCAGCAAGCGACTCTTTCTTTGCCTTGAAAATTACGTTTTCAGACATAGGATATCGCTTTCCTTCTCCTTGAACCGTCACCTTATCGTGGTGGAGGGGTTTGAGTGCCCGAATGATCCTGGGAGCTATGTTGTCGGGGGCTTCATGCCCCTGGTAGGGTCACCCAAGGCAAACAGGTCCGGGGGGACGGGTCAGACGAAGAACGGTTCAGAAGCCCCTATGATGAGTGTACGAGCAAGGCCAGTTACGTCGCCCGGATTGGCGTCACCGGGGCCTCACCCTGGAACCAGGCCTGGGGTGGGTGCTCGCCAGCGAGCGCCTGGTGGCCGAGCCTCCCCCCACGGGGCTCGGCCGGGCTCAGCCCGAAGGAGCGACGTGGGGCCGTCCTCACGTGGGCCCACCACCCGCGGGAGGATCCATATGGGGCCGGTGCAGAGAGATCTGGGCAGCAGTCGACGGCGGGGGCCTCGGCGACCGGATCTCCGGACATGGAGACTGTGGCTCTGGGGACATGGAATGTCACCTCGCTGGGGGGAAGGAGCCTGAGCTTGTGCGGGAGGTTGAGCGTTACCGACTAGATATAGTCGGCCTCACCTCCACGCACAGTTTGGGCTCTGGAACCCAACTCCTTGAGAGGGGCTGGACTCTCCATTTCTCTGGCGTTGGCCGCGGGGAGCGGCGGCGAGCTGGTGTGGGCTCATTGCCCCACAGCTCAGTCGCTGTGTGTTGGAGTTCACCTCGGTGAACGAGAGGGTCACGTCCCTGCGCCTTCGGGTCGGGGACAGGTCTCTCACTGTGGTGTCGGCCTACGGGCCGAACAGCAGTGCAGAGTACTCGAGTACCCGGCCTTCTTGGAGTCCTTGGGAGGGGTACTAGACAGTGCACCGACCGGGGACTCCGTTGTTCTCCTGGGGGACTTCAACGCCCACGTGGGCAACGACAGTGACACTTGGAGAGGGGTGATTGGGAGGAACAGCCTCCCCGATCTGAACCCGAGTGGTGTTTTGTTATTGGACTTCTGTGCTAGTCACAGTTTGTCCATAACAAACACCATGTTCGAGCACAAGGGTGTCCATAAGTGCACGTGGCACCAGGACACCCTAGGCCGGAGGTCGATGATCGACTTTGTCGTCGTGTCATCTGATCTCCGGCCGCGTGTCTTGGACACTCGGGTGAAGAGAGGGGCTGAGCTGTCAACTGATCACCACCTGGTTGTGAGTTGGGTTCGCTGGCGGAGGAGGAAGCCGGAAAGACCTGGCAGGCCCAAGCGTGTAGTGAGGGTCTGTTGGGAACGTCTGGTGGAGCCTCTGTCAGAGGGACCTTCAACTCGCACCTCCGGGAGGACTTCTCCCGGATTCCGGGGGAGGCTGGAGATATGGAGTCCGAGTGGGCTTCATTCTCGGCCTCTATTGTCAATGCAGCTGCTCGGAGCTGTGGGCGTAAGGTCTGTGGTGCCTGTCGCGGCGGCAACCCCAGAACCCGGTGGTGGACACCGGAAGTAAGGGATGCTGTCAAGCTGAAGAAGGAGTCCTATCGGGCCTTGCTGGCTCGGGGGACTCCTGAAGCAGCTGACGGGTACCGGCGGGCCAAGCGTGCTGCAGCCCGTGTGGTCGCGGAGGCAAAAACTCGGAGCTGGGAGGAGTTCGGGGAGGCCATGGAGAAGGACTATCGGACGGCCTCAAAGAGATTCTGGCAAACCGTCCGGCGCCTCAGGAGGGGGAAGCAGTTCTTCACCAACACTGTTTACAGTGCGGGGGGAGAGCTGCTGACCTCGACTGGGGACGTTGTCGGACGTTGGCGGACTCATCCATCACCCTGGCCGAAGTCACTGAGGTGGTTGGCAAGCTCCTTGGTGGCAAGGCTCCGGGGTTGGATGAGATCCGTCCTGAGTACCTGAAGTCTCTGGATGTTGTGGGGCTGTCTTGGCTGACACGCCTCTTCAACATCGCGTGGCGGTCGGGGACAGTACCTCTGGACTGGCAAACCGGGGTGGTGGTCCCTCTGTATAAGAAGGGGGACCGGAGGGTGTGTTCCAACTATAGGGGGATCACACTTCTCAGCCTTCCCGGTAAGGTCTATGCCAGGGACTGGAGAGGAGAATCCGGCCGATAGTCGAACCTCGGATTCAGGAGGAGCAGTGTGGTTTTCGTCCTGGCCGTGGAACACTGGACCAGCTCTACACTCTCCATCGGTGCTCGAGGTTCATGGGAGTTTGCCCAACCAGTCCACATGTGTTTTGTGGATCTGGAGAAGGCATTCGACCGTGTCCCTCGTGGTGTCCTGTGGGGGGTGCTCTGGGAGTATGGGGTCCGGGGCCCTTTGCTAAGGGCTGTCCGGTCCCTGTATGACCGGAGCAGGAGCTGTGTTCATTGCCGGCAGTAAGTCAGACCTGTTCCCGGTGCATGTTGGACTCCGCCAGGGCTGCCCTTTGTCACCGGTTCTGTTCATTGTATTTATGGACAGAATTTCTAGGCGCAGTCAGGGGCCGGAGGGGGTCCGGTTTGGGGACCACAGGATTTCATCTCTGCTGTTGATGCAGATGATGTTGTCCTGTTGGCTTCATCGAACCAGGACCTGCAATGTGCACTGGGGCGGTTTGCAGCCGAGTGTGAAGCGGCTGGGATGAAGATCAGCTCTTCCAAGTCCGAGGCCATGGTTCTCGACCGGAAAAAGGTGGCTTGCCCTCTCCGGGTGGGTGGGGAGTCTTTGCCTCAAGTGGAGGAGTTCAAGTATCTCGGGGTCTTGTTCACGAGTGAGGGAAGGACGGAGTGTGAGATTGACAGGCGGATCGGTGCAGCTTCGGCAGTGATGCGGTCGCTGTATCGGACCGTTGTGGTGAAGAGGAGCTGAGTCGAAAGGCGAAGCTCTCGATTTACCGGTCAGTCTTCGTTCCTACTCTCACCTCTGGTCATGAGCTCTGGGTAGTGACCGAAAGGACGAGATCGCGGATACAAGCGCTCGAAATGAGTTTCCTCCGCAGGGTGGCTGGGCGTCTCCCTTAGAGACAGGGTGAGGAGCTCAGTCACACGGGAGGAGCTCGGAGTAGAGCCGCTGCTCCTCCACGTCGAGAGGAGCCAGTTGAGGCTCGGGCATCTGTTCCGGATGCCTCCTGGGCGCCTCCCTCGGGAGGTGTTCTGGGCATGTCCCGCCGGAAGGAGGCCCCGGGGAAGACCCAGGACACGCTGGAGGGACTATGTCTCTCGGCTGGCCTGGGAACACCTCGGGGTCCCCCCGGAGGAGCTGGAGGACGTGTCTGGGGTGAAGGAAGTCTGGGAGTCCCTGCTTAGGCTGCTCCCCCCGCGACCCGGCCCCGGATAAGCGGACGAAAATGGATGGATGGATGGATGGATATCGCTTTCGTGTCCTGAAAAACATTTGTGTCGCTCTTGGAAATAAAGTACGTTTTCATAATCAGCAGAAGTTTCCTGTCCAGGAGTAATTTGTGGACCAGTGGTTCAGTCTTTAGACTCTTCGTCTGCTTCAGTCGCACCATCGCTGGAATGAATCTCCAAGAATCACCTTAGTTTGTCTTCGCTGCTTTTCCCCTTGTCTTCTTCTTTCACCTCAAAAACGGACTTTCTTTTGCGGCGAACTGCTCCTGGATTCTTGTCGCCATCGCAACAAACTTTGTGCGAACTGTGAGGAAGATATAGGTCAAAAAAGCCGCTAAGAACCGTTGTGTTGGTGGAGTAAACAGCGTCTGTGTCGTACGTAAACCACGTACCGGCGGCGCAGGCAAGTCAGTTACACTAGAAACGTAGGGAGTTTGATTGACAGCCTGTCAGCTCACAGATAACGAGGCAGTGTCGTTATCTACTGGCAAATGTTTAGCCCCACCACGTCCAGAGTTGATGAATTTTTATTCTCTTTTTTTGGTCATCATAATTACAAGGCGACTGCATCTATAATCTATCACTGACAATTTGAAACAAAAAAAATCCTCCATACAAACTTTAAAAAAACACTTAAAGGGATAGTTCAGGTTTTTTGACGTGAATCTGTGTGTCGTCCCCGTCAGCAGCGTCACATCCACATTGACTTTACCTCCGACAGCGTCCGGTGAGTCCAGATCCTGGCCGGTTTTGGTGCTGAGGAAAGTCGTTCAGCAAGTTGTTCTGGGGACAGAATAATAAAGAGTTTTTCTTCTCAAAACAACATGTGTTAAAAAGTGACACATTTGCACCACAAAACCTCCGTCCTCTAAGAAGTCAGACCTCATAATCACTTGGCACTATTTTCTCTCCGTACGTATCACTGCACCGCTTGTTTCACTTTGTTTACTGCTCGGAATATTCGCCTCTTCTCTCTCTGCCCGGTCTGACTCTCTCTGGCGAATTTCAGCATCGGTATATTCAGGTTCAAAAAGATCATCCACTGGCTCTGTGCTAAAATCAGTTTCTCCATCATCGGTGTCGTAGTTAAACATGTTGTCGCTGACATCCCGAGCAGTAAACAAAGTGAAAACAGGTCTAAACCAGGTCTAAACCAGAACTAAACCAGGTCTAAAACCAGGTCTAAACCAGGTCTAAAACCAGAACTAAACCAGAACTAAACCAGGTCTAAAACCAGAACTAAACCAGAACTAAACCAGGTCTAAAACCAGGTCTAAACCAGGTCTAAACCAGAACTAAACCAGGTCTAAACCAGGTCTAAAACCAGAACTAAACCAGAACTAAACCAGGTCTAAAACCAGGTCTAACCAGTCTAAACCAGAACTAAACCAGGTCTAAAACCAGGTCTAAACCAGGTCTAACCAGGTCTAAAACCAGAACTAAACCAGCTAAACCAGGTCTAAAACCAGAAATAAACCAGAAAACTAAACCAGGTCTAAAAACCAGGTCTAAACCAGAACTAAAACCAGTCAAACCAGAACTAAACCAGGTCTAAAACCAGGTCTAAACCAGGTCTAAACCAGAACTAAACCAGGTCTAAAACCAGGTCTAAACCAGGTCTAAAACCAGAACTAAACCAGAACTAAACCAGGTCTAAAACCAGAACTAAACCAGAACTAACCAGGTCTAAAACCATAAACAGGTCTAAACCAGAACTCAGTCTAAACCAGGTCTCCAGGTAAACAGTCTAAAACCCAGGTTAAACAGTAAACCAGAACTAAACCAGGTCTAAACAAAACCAGGCAGGTCTAAACCAGGCAGTAAACAGAACTAAACCAGGTCTAAACCAGTCTAAACCAGAACTAAAACCAGGTCTAAACCAGGTCAACCAAAACTAACCAGTCTAAACAGGTCTAAACCAGGTCTAAACCAGTAAACCAGGTCTAAAACCAGGTCTAAACCAGTCTAAACCAGAACTAAACCAGAACTAACCAGGTCTAAACCAGGTCTAAACCAGGTAAACCAGAACTAAACCAGGTCTAAACCAGTCTAACCAGGTCTAAACCAGGTCTAAACCAGGTCTAAACCAGGTCTAAACCAGAACTAAACCAGGTCTAAAACAAACCAGGTCTAAACCAGGCTAACCAGAACTAAACCAGGTCTAAACCAGGTCTAAACCAGGTCTAAACCAGAAGTCTAAACCAGAACTAAACCAGGTCTAAACCAGGTCTAAACCAGAACTAAACCAGAACTAAACCAGGTCTAAAACAGGTCTAAAACAGGATTTAACAGGACTAAATCCTGCTGTGTGGACGTGTTTCTTCCTCTTTTATCAATAATATTTTTAATACGGTTAAATAAAGTTTGGGTTTTTTATTTTCTTTTATCACATAAGACATTTTATGTGAAGATTTCCTCGTCTTTGTTTCTCTACAACAAATCAAGTAATCCAAAGTAATCAGATTACATTACTCACTTTGAGTAATTTAATGGATTCTGTTATAAACTACATTTTGGCGTATGTAATCTGTAATCTGTAGGGGATTACATTTTAAAAGTAAACTTCCCGACACTGGTTATTTATTTATTTATTTTTATTTTTGTTTATTGTTGTCCTTCAGGTTTGTGTGTGGTTGTTTTTCAGCCCGGACCTTTGAGAACCTGGACGCGTGTGTGGTGGTTCGATCCCCGGACCTGAGCACAGCGGCCGCTCTGCTCGAGGTGAGGACGCACTCAGAGGACGGACCTGAGTCACAACCCAACCGTGAAAACTAGGTGTAAAGTATGGGCGGTGGATCTTTGTTGGGTGGGAACACTATGGACAGACTCCGGTTAGAGAATCTTCATCAGCTTTATTCAATGCAAGTTCAAACAAGTATGTGTGGTCTGAAACAAACAAAAAAAACAAGAAATATGCAATGAGTGATTATTCTAATATAAGTAACAGATTACTATTATTAAACTAGGAAATACAATAACAGCACAAAATAATTACTATACATAGTGAACGTAGGTGAGGCAGCAGTTACGCTCAAGTCCACACGGAACAGAAATACGAAACGCGAAACATTTTAGTTACACATTATATCTCCAAGGGACACCCAAACAGCAACACTATAAGTTAAACATAATCACAAACCCACCTGAACATCAATAACGCACACGGAACAAATACAAATGTCCAATCTCTCCCACGTCTGTATCGGAGTGAAGCAGAGCCGAATTAATTGCGAGCACAGCGCTGACTGACTGTGCACTCCCTGCGCGCATGAAGGGGCCCTCGCAGGGGCTCCGCAAAACTCGCTAAGCGCATAATGGGGCCCTCGCGAGGGGGGGCTCTGCAAAGTCACTTTCGGACCCATAGGCTTTCGGACAGTAGGGCCGGGTGTCATTAAAGGTTGTATAGAGGATTTTCCAAGGAACGAGAAATCCAGCGACTGTTTGTCCTTTTTCAAATGTTGCGCATGTGTGAACATTTACATTACATTTTAAAAGTAACTTTCCCAACACTGTCCATTGGTCGAGTCGACTCAGATAAAGTCAAATGTTCTTAATTTCAATTTTAACTAACTTTTTTTGCCGTGTAAATGAGTTTCCTTCCACTAAACAAACAACAAAACTGTAGCTGGAACAAAATAATTTAGTAAAATACACAAAAAATACTCAATATCGATACTGTATCATTACATTAAACTATACGATATATCGATATTTGGTAACACTTTATAATAACTGCACCTTATTTAGCCTTAATAAAGCATGAACAAAGACTTAATTAATAATGATTCACGCTTAGTAACTACTTAATTACTACATGAATTAGCACTTAACTTGCACTTAATTCACCTGTGCTGTAAATAGTTACTCATAAGTATTTCTTACTTAATTACTCATGAACTAAACATTTGTGTGTGCATTTGTAAATGTATATTTAAGTACAAATTTGAGCATTTATTAATGATTAATAAGCCATGAGAGAATGATTTACTAATAATGCATTATTGTTTCTCTGGAATTTGACCAAACTTAACAAATGTTTAATAAACATAATTATTCTTCACTTTAGAAAAGTTCTCAGAAAGACTAAACTAACAGAAAACAGCTGCTGAATGATCATTGTGTTATTAGTAAATCATTCTCTCATAGTTTATTAATCATTAATAAATGCTCAAATTTGTACTTAAATATGCATTTGTAAACATGCACATGGTTAGTTCATGAGTAATTAAGAAGTATTGAGTAACTATTTACAGCACAGGCCAATTAAAGGTTGTATGGAGGATATTTTTTTTAGTTTCAAATTGTCAATAAAAGTTTAAAATATCATTACAGAGACGCAGCAGCTTTGTAATTATGATGACCAAAAAAAAAAAAAAAAAGAGAATGAAAATCTATCAACTGTGGACGTGTTGAGGCCAGATAAACATCAGCCAATAGAAAACGAGGCTGCCTCTTTATCTATTGGCTGTCAGGTTGTCAATCAAACTCCCTATGTTTATAGTGTAAGTGACTCGTCGGCGCGCGGGGATGACGTGGTTTATGCGGCGGTTTTTAGATGCTTTTTAAAACTGTCGCTTCCTCGTAATTCGCACAAAGTTTGTCGCGACGGCGGACGAGAATCCGCGACCAGTTCGCCGCCAAAGAAAGTCAGTTTTTGAGGTCGAGGAAAGAAGAAGAGAAGTGGAAAAGGAGCGAAGACAAATGGAGGTGATTCTTCGAGATTTCTTCCAGCGACGGCGCGAATGAAGCAGACGAAGGGTCTAAAAACTGACTAAATTACTTCTAGGCAGGAAACTTCAACAGTGATTCTGAACGAGCACTGGATGTAAACAAGTTTGATTTGTAGAGTAAAGAGGCGGGAGGAGGAGATGTTTCTACTGAGGAAGGTGGTGTCACACAGGCACAACATTTGAAAAAGGACGGTCGCTGTATTTCACTTACTTTAAAAGAAATCCTCTATACAACCTTAAGTGCAAGTTAAGTGCTAATTCAGGTAGTAATTAAGTAGTTACTAATAGAGATGCGCGGATGGCGGTTGCAACCACAGACTCCACAGCCAAACCGCGGGTCGGGCGGATGACGTGACGAAAAATAATATTTGAATTAAATTGGGGCGGGTGGCGGTTTCACTACTCAAATAAAAAACTCTGAACTCAGAACAACTGGGAGGAGAGTGAGCGGACGGTGGGCGGGTGCGGTTTTGAAAACTGGTCAAAAACTGTGGTTGCAAATGGACAGCGGGCGGATAATGAGTTTTGCGATGCTGTTGCGGATGAAAAAGTCGCCCGTCCGTGCACCTCTAGTTACTAAGCGTGAATAATTATTAATTAAGTCTTTGTTCATGCTTTATTAAGGCTAAATAAGGTGTAGTTATTATAAAGTCTTACCCGATATTTCAATGTTTTTACACACCTCTAGTAAAAACCGTATAAAAGTGTGCGTCTCGTGGCGCTGGCTCCACCGCGTTTGTAAAGCGCAGTGCCGTGTGTGACCCGCAGGTGGAGCCCAAGGACGTGATGCTGTGCCTGACCACGCGCACCCTGATCACCCGCGGCGAGAGCGTGTGCACCCCGCTCAACGTGGCCCAGGGGCTGGACGTGAGGGACGCCTTCGTCAAGGTGCGCTGCTCAAAGACACAAAAACACCGACGACATTCAGAGTTCCCACGGTCATGGAAATCCTGGAAATGTCATTTTTGAGGCCTGGAAAAGTCATGGAATTTTGTAAAGTCAGTGAAAGTTTTGGTAAAACTTTATTTCAGGTGCATTTATTAACATCGAACTAAGTGTTAATGAACATAGTTGTAAATGTTTAATTTGTCCTTCATTATTCAGTTCCCCTCTACTCTCAGTGTCAGGGAGTAACAGATTACAAGTACCAGAGTAATCAGAGTACAAATGACGAGTAACTGTATTCAGTTACAGTTACTGTTTCAGTGAGTGGGAATTGGATTACAGTTACTTTGTTGAAATAAATGGATTAAACAGAGGGATTTTACTGTTTCACATTTTGGGACTAAACCAGGAAAACTAAACCAGGTAACCAGGACTAAAAACCAGGGACTAAACCAGGACTAAACCAGGTCTAAACCTAAACCAGGACTAAACCAGGACTAACCAGGACTAAACCAGGACTAAACCAGGTCTAAACCAGGTCTAAACCAGGTCTAAAACCAGGACTAAACCAGGACTAAATCAGGGACTAAACCAGGTCTAAACCAGGTCTAAACCAGGTCAAACCAGGACTAAACCAGGACTAAAAACCAGGACTAACCAGGTCTAAACCAGGACTAAAACCAGGACTAAACCAGGACTAAACCAGGACTAAATCAGGTCTAAACCAACAGGACTAAACCAGGACTAAATCAGGACTAAACCAGGTCTAATCAGGTCTAAATCAGGACTAAACCAGGACTAAACCAGGTCTAAATCAGGTCTAAATCAGGACTAAACCAGGACTAAACCAGGACTAAAATCAGGTCTAAACCAGGACTAAATCAGGTCTAAACCAGGACTAAATCAGGTCTAAACCAGGACTAAACCAGAACTAAACCAGGACTAAATCAGGTCTAAACCAGGACTAAATCAGGTCTAAACCAGGACTAAACCAGGACTAAATCAGGTCTAAACCAGGACTAAACCAGGACTATATCAGGTCTAAACCAGGACTAAACCAGAACTAAATCAGGACTAAACCAGGACTAAATCAGGTCTAAATCAGGACTAAACCAGGACTAAACCAGGTCTAAATCAGGTCTAAATCAGGACTAAACCAGGACTAAACCAGGACTAAATCAGGTCTAAACCAGGACTAAATCAGGTCTAAACCAGGACTAAATCAGGTCTAAACCAGGACTAAACCAGGACTAAACCAGGACTAAACCAGGACTAAACAGGTCTAAACCAGGACTAAACCAGGACTAAACCAGGACTAATCAGGTCTAAACCAGGACTAAAATCAGTCTAAATCTAAACCAGGACTAAACCAGGACTAAACCAGGACTAAACCAGGACTAAATCAGGTCTAAACCAGGACTAAACCAGGGACTAAACCAGACTAAACCAGGTCTAAA